TTGCTGTGCGAGCCTACCACTGAAGTGCTGTTGCTCGACACCTTCACTTTCGTGAAGCAGCACCAGGCGGCTGAGTGGAGCCGCAAGAAGGAGCGCCGCTGCAGTATCCCGTTTTGCCTTGCAGGAGGATGCAGCAGGATCCCGTTCGATGAAGCCCGGCCTTCAAGACAGAGACAAATTTCGGTTTGTGATTAAGTTTACTTGTTTCTGAAGTTCGGCCCATGTCTCCAGCGTTCGACTCAGTGGACAAAGAGTACTGTGACGCCAGCATTAGCGCGTGTCGGCTGTCGCGAACTCCAGCGGATGCAATATCAAAGCACTCTGCACTAAGAGCCGGGCCTTCATCGCAACCCGCAAATCGCGAGCTGCTGGGGCAAAGTCGAAAGGCCCGGGCTGCACAACGCTGCGTGCTGACTCTGCCCCTTCCTCAGTAGAGCTCGCATGGAAGGTGATCGATAGCTTCAAGCGTCAAAAGCCGGTTTGCCTGAGGCGCATCGTGGGTGTCAAGCCGAGATTACAAAGGCAAACCATAGTTCCCATTTGGGTCCCACTGGTAAATTCATGTTTCAGGATCTGGCTCTCTTGCTGTCACAAGGCCGCTTGACAATTCAAACATTAAGAGTCCAAGCGGCAGAGTCGCCACCGGCCAAGAATCTCGCGCGTGCGAGGCTTCAGAGCACCGCGGTGGAGCCGTTGATTTTCGTGAGGTTTGGGCCTCAATCCTTAAATGCCGTAGGACAAGAGGCCCGGGACTTGATCTCGTGAACAGGCTCCCGTGCAGCCCGGCAAGTGCACAAATGGAGGGAAGGCAGACCTTCCCGCCAAAGACGTGGGACGGAAGCATCAAAATGGCCGCATTGCCTTGGAGTGTCAGAGCGCAGTGTGCTTGCAAGCCTTCATCACGCTTTGATGCTTGCTTATCTTGCTTCCGGGAACTGCGCAGCCGGTCAAACTTCGGCTCGTCAGCACGAGTCTTGAGCATCACTGGCACTGGAGTACTGCAGCAGAACAGAGCACCACAGCAGGCAGCAGGCACTGCAAACTTGCAATCGGTAGCCGAAGCGAAGAAGCTGCTACCTGGATGCCTTGGCAATTCTGGCTTCTCTTCGATCTAGTATGCAGCAGCTGAAAGTGGCCGCATTGTGGCTGGATTCTACATGCCGATAGCAAGGGCAGATGTTTCTTGATCACGGTAGGAGGACCGTCGCAATGGAGCTCGAGTCGCTGCACTCGTTTCTGGAGCCACCTGCCTCTGCTTACTGTGCTCTCGAGACACTGGAAAGCTTCTTGGCTCCTGTCTGGAGCCCAGCAGTCACGACAAGGCATGTGCGTTCGCTCCTCAACTCGCCTCACAGGTGCAGTCCTTGGAGGATTTCCTCACCGCAGAGGTGTGGTGTTTTCGTGGTATGTGAAGCTGCTCATGTAGCTGAACCGACGTCCATTGCCGGCATAGGAGCCGGCAGCACCGAAGAAGGCCCAGGCTGTCCAGAAGGCGAAGAACCAATTTCCGTTTCTTCGTAGTGACTCAGTGAGGGTGCTAGTCTGCACAACAGGAATGAATTGAAAGGTACCTACTCATTGTGAGTTGTCTTGTCAAAGTTGGCCCCCCACACACACACACACGCGAACGCTTGCAGGAGCTTGGAAAGCAGCCACGTCACCCTGGACCTCATGCCGCAGAGGCAGCTGAGGAGGCCAGGGTCCGATTTCAGACAGCGGAAGACGAGCCGAAACCAGTCGCAAAAGCGCCGTCTTGAAGAAGGCATCCAATGCATCCAACGTTCATCCGGAGGAGAACGCCGACGTCGCCGCTGCGTCCGTGCAGTTGCAGTGTCCATTGCAGTGCCGGGAGAAGCCCCCAAAGTCCCCCAAGCTGCTGGAGGAGGAAGGTGACGAGCAGCCGGCGAGAGAAGCGGAAGGAGCAGAGGAGGCCCTCGCGCGTCGAAGCTAAGAGAATCGCGACTCCAGCACTCAAAGGGGAAACAGATGGCCTCAGGTGCCGGAGGGCCTGGACGACAAAGTTCCGAGCCCAGCGGCCCTGCAGGCGGCCGCTGCAAAGCTCCTGGAGAGGGTGAAAGCTGCCAGAGAACAGGCGGGGTTGTTGGGAGCAGTGCAGCACACAGTTGTGAATGGACTGATGCAGTCTGTTTATTCTGATGCTATGCCACTACATATCCTTCGTGAACTCATGAAGTCTTCTGTCTGTCTGAGCAGAAGTGGAATAATCAATTGCTTGAGTATGCCCCCCTCGCGAAACGGTGCTTGAAACGAAGGTCTGACCCCAAAGCACGGTTCTTCACACGACGATTTGGTGATTCTTGGGTCTACGTTGTTGCGCTTAATACCACTGCGAAGTTATAGTGCTGTTGTGATAACTGTCATCCTAAGCAGACCATCTGGTATTTTTGCTTGTTGTCGCCACGAGCGGGATTGCTAAATGAGGGGGTGCCTTTAAGACATGTACCGCATCGGAATCGCCATGTCAGGGGGCCGGGGTTACGATATTGGTCCGGTTTGTGGTCCGGGCTGTCTGGGTTTGTCGTGGGGTCGGAAGTGACACAGCTGAGTTGTAGGCTTGGTCTTTCACTTCTGAGGGTCTGCAACTGCGTGATGAAAACGACGTTCACGACGACGACGATGATGATGATGATCATGGCGTTGGTGATGATGATGACTATGACTCTATGACTCTGAAGATGAACAACAATGCTCCTTGAGGCTGGCAAGCAGGTGCACCTTGTGGGCTGCGCCGGGATCTGAGTTTAAGGTTGGTGACGTTGGTGCCCATGGTGACAGCCTTTGTGCATGTGAAGCTGTTTGTGGCCGCACAGGGCTGCCCAAGCTGCCGGGATCCACTTCTGTGGTTCCCCAAGAGGAACTACCAGGAGGTGCTGGCCCGAACTCCAGGACGGTGTCGGACAGAAGAGATTGCTGGAGAGCACATGTTACGGAAGAACCTGATTGAGGTGGGGCTCCCAGAGCGCCAACGGGTGGCCTGGGACTCCGACGACGAGTACTTGGACGAGTACTCCGTCTTGGCAGGCCGAATGGCCGACCGCAACTGACTGGGTCGCTGCAGGCGCGCTCGCATCGTTCGGTTCTATTTTTTGGCCGGAGATGATGATCAGAGTGAGACCACGTCTTTTGCGTGTCCGTTTCGGGGCTTCAAGAGTGCTGAGAGAGGGAGGTGGTGTTGGAGGGGTGTCCCACACCTGAAAGTGTGTCTGTGTTGTTCGTACTTGCATTGCAAGTTGCACACTGTGCATTGTCTTGAAGTTGATGAAGTTGTTCAACTGTGTTCAGGATGACCCGGCGTCGCTGCTCGTGCAAGGCGGCTGGAATGGTGCCAATTGGCTGTCCGACCTGTGGAGCTACGAAGTGCCTTATAAGGAGTGGCAGCAGTTGAACATCAGCCCTGCGCCGATGGCTCGCTCGCAGCACGTGGCGGTTTGGGATAAGGCTGGCCAGAGGGTCTGGCTGCATGGCGGCTACGGAACGGGCCTGTTCGGAGATCTATGGACGTTGGGTCGCGGCCGCTCTTCTGTCTGGGCCGAGGTGACGTTTGCCGGAGGGCCCCACAGCGAGATCGGGCCATGCAGTGGCCTGGGATGATGTGGCTACCGCGCTGTGGCTGCATGGAGGAAACGATGGCTTCATCAAGCAGGACCTGTGGAGATACGATTTTATTTTCAGCATTCCCCAGCAGACAGCTGGGATCTCGTCAGGGACATTGTGCAATCCGGGCCATCCGCACGCTGGTCTCATGTTGCTGCCGTACATCTACGCCGGCTACAACGGGACCCTTTGCGGAGACCTTTTGGGATTTCTGGCTCCACCACCACAAGCTCCAGCTCCACAACCTCTTCACACACACACACACACACACGCGGTCGTCAAGTACCACTACAAGCACCAGCTCAAGCACCCTTTCCACGAGCACCAGCAGCAGCTCCACGACGTCAAGCTGGAGCACCACAAGCACCAGAACATCCAGCACCAACATCGAGCAATACGAGTGCCACGACCCGTACTTCCACTTCAAGCACCAGTGCTACCTCAAGCAGCAGCTCTGGCACTGCAGCATCCAGCACAGCCACCACCACGAGTTGCACGTCAACATCAACCACATCTCGCACAGGCAGCAGCACTTCAGGTACGCAGACAACCTGGACCGACACTTCCAGCATAGACACTTCGTCACTGTGACCACTACTACTGCCACGGGCGGATGGGTGGCAGTGGCTTATCCACAGGTTCCAGACTGGGTCTTATGGATTTTTGCAATCTTCGTGGCAGTTTTGGTGCTGCCCGTCTGCATCGTCAGTTTCCGGTACCACTTGTACCGGGAAGTTGTCGTGCCAGTCACGATCCAAGAGCGCTTGCCGTCCAAAGCGCCTCAGCCAGTCGATCCCCCACGGCTATGCGTGTGGTCTTGGGTGCTGCTGACGTAAAAAAAACTTCCGGCCCTGTCAATCACGTCGCCTCCGCTGCCCTATTCGGGTGCTCGCATCAGCATCCGTCAGCGATCTGACACGAGGTACTTTTCCTGCCATGCCATTCAGGTTGAGCCACGGATACAGTTGGTACCGGAGTCACCTATATGGCTGGCTGTGCGGACTTGCGGACCAAGGCTGTGCAAGGCTCCATGGCCCATTTCTCCACTCCCAGAGTTAGTCTGGGCACAGCCAGGCGCGACAAGCCAACACCCGCAGCCTGCAGCTGCAAATAGCCCGAGCACCGGCGAGCGAGCAGCCCGTGCCCTTCGGTCCGATCGCACGGCTGAGCGTTCGCACGATGGCCAGCATGCGGGTTCATGAGCGTCTGCCCCAGAGACCGGGTGTATCACTCGTGCGCAGCACTCCGTGCCCTCGGCTCGTTCCAGAGTTTTCGGCAGGGGCAGTGCAGAGCTGCTCCAGGCGAGTGCTGCGCTGCCCGGCCAGCTTGGCAGTGACCTTGCGTCCAAAGACACTGGAGAGGCAGGGCTGTCACTCCGCCACTCGCGAGCGTGCCATTTGCAAAAGGATGACCCTCCCAGGCTCGAGCCCCGCAGCAAGCGGCAAGACAGCGACGGGTGCCCATCTCGCCGCCCGTGCACACTGCGGCTTTGCCGAGCAGACTCCGTGTGCGGCTGGTTCCCGAGTCACCCGAGTGGCCTGTGGCAACGCGTGCGAGAATGCATCCGCTGAGGGATCCTTTAATTGCTGGACGTGAGCCTCATGGTCAAGCGCATCGTTCAGGTCTCCGGCGAAGAGACCTTCAGCATGATGACAAGAAGCATTTGCCAACGGAGTCGAGGAGGAAGCCAGATAGCAGGAGTGCAAGATTGCACAGCCCTGGCAGTCACAAGGCCTTTTGCGAGCACGTCAGATGTCTGGCAGCGTCACTCGCAGCAGAAGTAGGAGTAGCCCATGCCTGAAACTCAGCCAAAGAGCTGACTCCAGCGAGGCCTTCCGTGCCGAGAGCCGAAGCACGGCTCGTGCACGAGATAGCTTCACGGAGCCTCCAAGACCGCACGGTCCTCTCCGTGAGACGTGAGAGGAGCCTCCGACAGAGTCGCCAAAGTATGTCGGCCAAGCAAAGTGAGGCGGCCAGCAACGCGATGCCCCGGGCTGGTGAAAAAAGGGGAGACTTTGCGATGACCGGTGTGCTGGCACCGACGCCTCATCAGCCAACTGTCTGTTTTATGAAGTCGCAGGCTTTGCATCGGGTCCCAGGCCAATAATGAGTTGCCAAGAGATTCATGATCGTGCATGACGGCATCTTGATGCCGACGGTGCACTGAAATTCGAAACTTTGTGAACAACTTGTAGAGCTTCTGCTCATGGCCTGCCTGGGCGCTCCAACATGGCATTCCCGGCCTGTGGCGTTCAGGTGCCGGGGGCGAGCGGAACACCTTGCAAGAGCGAGCGGAGTGCTGCGTTTTCTGTCGGCAGGCGACAGGATGCACCGCAAAAGCAGCATCTCGGACCGTGCCACCACGGCATTGGGATCCTACGAATCTGCGAGGCCGAAGCGGAGCCAGCAGCTTGGGTTGGGCTTACCAACGGCAGGATTCTGGGCACGGCCGTACAGTAGCCTTCCATGCAATTCGTCAGTGTAGGATGATCGTTGATGTGTCGTTGACCCTTTGGAACTATTCCCTTTTGGAGCTACTGCTGCTGACTCTCATAAAAAAAAGCTTCAGAGGTTGTCGTTGGTTGCGAACCCGGCACCCTCAGTGCGGGTAACAGTTTCAGTGTCGGTAGGCATCATTGTACCGCATCAGCGAAGCCTCCGCGTTGCAGCCTTCTGCACCGATCTGTTTTTCTTTTCTGCACGTGTTTGGGCAGGAAGCTGAAATGGAAGCGTGATGTCCAGACTACCTTGAACGACTATGAAACGAACTTGATTCTGGTTTCGGCCTCAGTCTCAGTGGTCCAGCCGGCACGATCCTGCCCTTTGCCATCTTCTGCTCCGTGCAACAAATGAGCGTGATCATCAAACCATCGCCAGAAGAGCAGAGTGGGTCGAAGCATTCCGCAGAAAGTGCCATTAATTGTTGCAAAACTTTATTGGCTTCATATCGGGCTTGAAATGCTTGAACACGGCAAGTGCATCAAGAGACATCAGTCGTGTCTCTAAAGCCCGCGAGTATTGACATTTGGGGAGGCACGTTGGCCACGCTGCCCTGAAACGCTTCGAAACCCGCCAGGGAGGGTGGGGAAGGGCCTGTAGAGTGCTGAATCTTTCAACAGCATGTGGCGAGCGATTCTGGGGCTGGTGGTCCTAGTCGTCGTCGTGGTCTTGGTTGTCGCGGTCGCAATCGCGTCATGATGCCGTGGTGCTCTGTCTATTAATCTTGAGGGGTCTGGCGGATTGTGTTGTGGTTCTTCGACGTTGCAGCAGGATTCCCAGTTTCTACATGTCGATTTAGCCAACCTCGTTGTGGAAGATGTAGATTGCAAGGAAGATCAGACTGTGGAGTCGTTTGTAGTCGTGCAGTTTGAAGCTAGCAAGCTTAATACGTGAGGCTAAATGGCAGCGGCAGCGCCTTGCACTTCACATGTTCTTGTTGTGCCTGCATGCCGCATGCACGCACCCGAATCTCTCTTCCGTGTACGCAGTCTCAGAAGCTTGCCAAGTCTATCGAAGTTGCATGCGAAGACAGATAGTTTCGAGCTGAACCAATGGGTTTGCACATCAGCAACGTGCATGACTGCATGAACATGTATATACACGTTGTTACACGTATACACATACACATGTACATCCGTGTAATTAATATATATATATATATATCGTATACTTTTCACGTGTACAGGTGGTGTATGGGAAACAGCAAACTCGGGAGTGCACGCCTTGCAGACTTTGCAAGCATAATGCATCGTGCGCAGTGTCATGACCAGGCTGTGTGTACATGGATGATGGCCAAAGCATGCCAAAGCCACGCAAGCATGAGGCCTCGGGCCGAGTGCCATGGCCAAAGCCACGACTTCCTTGCCGGCAACTCAAGACTGTGCAAGCCGCTGCAGCAGGGCCCTCTGTGTGTTTTGTCTGCGCCGGCGAGGCCACGTCGTCTGTGATAAGCCCAGCTTCGATGGCCAGAGCATGCCAGAGCGCTTCCGGGTGCTGCCAAAGGAGCAGCAGGCACGGCAGGCCTCCAGAGTCGCCACCGGCCGAGACTCTCGCGCGTGCGAGGCTTCAGAGCACCGCGGTGGAGCGGTTGAGCTTCCGGACGTTTGGGCCTCGATCGTTCATGCCGTAGGACATCAAGCCCGGGACTTGATCTCGTGAGCAGGCTCCCGTGCGGCCCGGCAAGTGCACAAATGGCGGGAAAGCAGACCTTCCCGCCAAAGTCGTGGGACGGAAGCATCAAAATGGCGGCATTGCCTTGGAGTGTCAGAGCGCAGTGTGCTTGCAAGCCTCCATCACGCTTTGGTGCTTGCTTCCGGGAACTATGCAGCCGGTCGAACTTCGGCTCGTCAGCACGAGACTTGAGCAACACTGGCACTGCAGTACTGCAGCAGCACCGAGCACCACAGCAGGCAGCAGGCACCGCAAACTTTCCATCGGTAGCCACAGTGAAGAATGGAAGAAAATCCTTTATTCTCGTTCCTGATCGCCTCGCAGTGGCAAGCAGTTCAATTTCTGGGCTGGCCGTACTTCGTGGCATTTGCATGCACTGTTCTGCGGGCCGTGTGCCAACCGACAATCCTGCCATGACAGCAGGAGCCACAGAATTTCAGCTCGTGTCTGTCATGGCTTTTTGAATTTTTGGAGTAGAGCTGCGGACGTTTAGTTTTTCAGAGTCTTTGGCCCCCATAAAAGGCTCGACAGCAGTGGCGCACCATTGTTGGTGGCAATGCTCGGTTTGGTCGGGGAGCCAAGGGTTTCAGGATAGGCGCAGAGGGCAGCTTTCAAGCCTCCGAGAAGTGCGCTCAGATCAGATAGGTGCCGCAGTTCACGCGCTTGGCGCTTCCTCAAGAGCCTAAGGCGAGCAGCTGCGCACCACTCTGGGCCTGAGGCACGTCGCATCGCACAAGGGGGGGGGGAGAGATCTATCTGCTATCTCTTCCGAGTCATGAAGTCCGACCCCAAAAAAGCCACATGTGCTGGGATCGGAGTCCCGCTATGAACCTTCAGGTGAAAGCTCAGACTTGCTTTGATTTGGTTTGTGTGGCTTTTGCATTGGATCTCTCGGATTCCCTCGTGAGCCGAAGTCTGCGGCATCTCGGCCAGGACACGTGAGTCTGAGCGGGTAACCGCTGTCAGTGAGAGAGGCACGGGAAACCGGGAGAGCTGGAATTGTTGCAACGAAGTCTAAGGGACGCGCACGCGCCTGAGTCACTTCGATTCGGGCAGGCCGTGACAAGCCCGTCTCCAGGCACTCGACTCAGGCACGGATGCACCGCGAGCGACGGCCGGCTGAACCGCTGCTTCTTTGCCAGGAGCTGCAGGACTTCCTCTGGGGACACATCACTGTGCGGCCGTCAATGCAGGCGCGGACGGCGGACGCGCCGCGAGCGCTGGTGTGGGGAGGGGATGGCTTTTGCCTTTTGCAGACGTAGCCGCTCTCGGGCCCCACCGGCTCCGCATTGCGTATTTGGTAGCTTGGGCATTTGGGAGGGGGAGCCAGACGCGTAATTACTTCCCTGCCCCACCCTTGTTGTAGTCCAGCTTCTGTTTCTGGTTGCAGGTTTTTCTCCCACAAGCTGTTTTTCCTTGCATTCAGACGTTGACACATCGTTTCTTACGAAGACGTCTCTTTCTCGCGCCAGGAGTGTCTCGATTTCTTGTGGTGCCCGGAGGTTGGTTTGGGCTGTGCCTGCTTCGAGTGTATCACATTGCGGACTTTGCTAACTGCGCTGGAAGGGCAGCGCCTCAGAGTAAGTAGTCTCCTCTTTCCTGCAGGAAGAGGAGGAGGCGCTCGAGAGGGCCTGCACAGAGGAAGGGACAGTCGTGGTGGAAGACC